TCTCAATTTAGTCCCAAGTATTTTAAAAAAATTTCACAATGTCCGTTACTACATGATTCCCAGGCCCAAGACGCTCCACTCCAAAGTCCCAGTGCACCTACGCGAAAATCCGGTCAATGTGGCCGGGGATCGACGAGAAATCCTCGTAGGAGAACTCCTCGTAGGTCTCGTGGAGGTAGAGCTCAAGCCTGTTGATCAGGTTCCGGGGTAGGGCGATCTTAGTGGGCCCTCCGTGGTAGCAGACATGTCCCCTCCATGCCACAATCAGGTACTCGGGGATCATGGCCCGACATAGCATGGCGGCATACGGCCCCGGTTTCTGCATGCTTTCCCGCAGCATGCGTTCTCTCTGGGTGTCCGGGATCCTCAGGAGGGTGATGTCGCTCATGACGCCCTGCTTTGAATTAGGGAGGGGACTGTTAGTATTGGGACTGCTTTACAGCCACGCGGTGGAGGGAGAGGGGCAGCATACAGGGATCTTTCCCTGGGACAGCCGCGAGGGGGTGGGACAGGGGCAGAGTTGATGCTGTCCTGATTGCTGGCAGCAGAGACTGGCATTGCTTTCAATGTGAAAGGAGGCCAGTGCTACAGCTGGAGTTTTAAGCAGCCACAAGTCTGCGGCTTACCATTATTGCCCGCTCCAGAAGTTCAGGTCTCCAGCCACAGTTCTCTGAACACTCCAAGACCTCCGCAAGTCCACAGGCACTGAAGGCGACGGCCGAAAATTCGACCTTGTCCTGAGTGCGCATGTGAGAGGTTCAGTGCATGGTCTTGTTCACAGAGAAAGACTAGGTTCTTTGTATACAATTTCATTTATCTGTCTCAGGAATTCACTCCCTTTTTAAAATTCACACAGACACATCTGCGACTGTCTCCCAACCCAGCCTGTCAGCACACTCCCAGAGGCTAGCGCAGATTAGGCGGAGGAAGAAGAAGACGCGTGAAGACATGTTCACAGAACTAATGGGCTGCTCCCGAGCCCAGGCAGCCCAGCAGACACAGTGGAGGGAGAACTTGTCACAAATGCACCGAGCAGTCATGGAACGGGAGGAGAGGTGGCGTCAGGAGGACCAACAGGCTACTGAAAAGCTGCTTGGACTAATGAGGGAGCAAACGGACACGCTCCGGCGCCTTGTGGATGTTCTGCAAGACCGGAGGCAGGAGGACAGAGCCCCGCTGCAGTCTATCTGTAACCGCCCTCACCCGCCACCAAGTCCCACACCACCCTCACCCAAAGTCCAAAGAAGGAGGGGCGGCAAGGGCCGTTAAAACTTTCAATCAACCCCTGCAGACTGCTCTAGCAGTAGAAGGCTGACATTCCCCAAAATTTCATAAGTCCTTTCCTACCCACCTCACACAAGCCCCCGTCCAAGTTTCACCCCCCACGTTTCATGTCTGGTTCGCAATAAAATGTTTGTTTCTGTTCATTACTGTTTCGGTCAGGTTCTTTTGAGGGAGAGTCTGTCTGGAGGGGGGGAAGGGGCTTGGTAATTGGACAGGACAGTCACCTTTAGCAGGCTACAGAGGCGGGGTCAGGTCCAGCATCAGGACACATACACAGTGCAGTCACTGGTTACCCTGGTCAGTCTGGGAGGTGCTTTTCATGTTTTGGGGGGGGGGGGGGTG